TGGTTGGGTTAGGTTACCAAGTTACCATATTGTTGGACATGGTTGAACATTTGACGTGCACACGGCATATGCGTGGAAACTGGAAATCCGCCTTTATGAGCGCACAACAATAAGCAACAAACTCTATTATAACTCATCCAGTAAAAACAGTAAAGTACATCTCGGGCCTCGGTTAACATTACAGGAAATTGGTTATCGAAAAAATGATTTAAAATCAGTGTAGCCACTCGCAACAATATAATATGAAAATTATCAACTTTTAATTATCAATTCATTTTAAATTAATAAAAGCCATTAATTAATAATTTGTTATACGTTAGTATTATCCTAACGTATTTTTGTAATACTTGATATTTACTATTTAGTAAATCATATATATCGTGGTGAGATAATCAATACATTTAATGTTTATTAATTGTCATGATAAATATTAGCTTAGCTTCTAAGTTGGATATTATGAAATGTTTAAATTCTATTTTATATTAACATTTCAGTTAGTATTACATTTCAAATTACGATCGTTTTTTTTTCAATACACTATAGTTTTTTGATTTTACGAAATCATAATGGTCGCCGATGGCCGAGATGAACTGGACGAGTTATGCGACTATACTCAGTATGGGTTTTGTCAATACTGCAAGAATGAAGGTGAGGTGAATGTAATAAATAGCACAAACACATTTGCTAAATACCGTATGTCTAGGCTCTTGAGTATATTTTACGTTTTACTTCTTAAATACATTCTTAAACTTTTATAACATAACATTAATAATTTTCATAAATGTATGAAAATGACTTAACTAGATAGGAAAGTTAGTCTGAGAAATCACCCCGCCCCACACACACTTAAAACTGCCATTGTCAATACTAACCTCTTCTTTTGTGTTGTGGTCTGTATGCTTATTATTTATGTCAGTTAAAATCGTTTTTGATTTGTTTGCCTTGAAAAAAAAAGATTATAGGAAGCGTTTAATCTAAAATAAAATAAGTAGATATACCTAGAAGATGTATCAAAAAATAGATGGAAATGTAATCTAATTAATAATTATCAATAGGGACTGTATTATAATACAAGTAAATTAATCGTCTCTAAATTCATATTAGTTTATTTTAATATGTGTTATTAATTTATTATATGTTGTGTAATACCTTTACACAACTAACTACGTCTATATCCATTACAATTAGTGATAATAATTACAAAATATATATGACTTTATTTATGATAAATATATATGATTAGATATATTATATATATATATAATTTATATATATTACTGCCAGAGCTTGGATTTTATATGATTTGCATACTTAAGTGTAATCAACTCGAAAATAGTTTAGTAGGATTCAAATTTGTTTTATTATTCAAATAATTGAAAGATGGTATTTTATTTTGCATAATTCCGTAGGTTTTTAAATTTATTTTTCTGCATGTAGTCTGTTAATTAAGTATTTTAGTAAAAAGTGAAATTCGTATAAGTATATTTTACTATAACATAATAAAAATAGCAAATTATAATGTAAATGCTCAACCAAAATAATGATAATATCTAGATTATTATATAATTTTATATCATATTATTAAATCTCGTAATAAAACAGATTTAATAATATGAGTGGATAGAGGTTAATATTCAAAATTACCTGTTTTGTAGTGGCATGTGTTGTCAGCACAATCGTACAAAATCTAAATGCATACTKGAGCAACCATACATTTAGGAACCAATCAATTTTGAATATGTTTAATCTAGTCATCACAACATCGTAAATATCAAACAATGCCATTGCTAGTAAAATGAATAAAGACAATCCCAATTGAAATTTGTATATATCGTTCAGGTCACTAACTGAGTCGCTGACAAATCGGTGTCTCATCTTAAGTGATTCGATATTATTGACCAATTGACAACCTTTGATTCGTTGATAGGAATCATCGTTAAAATCTGTTCTATCACGAATGTTGTTATATTTTTCCGAGGTTAATACTGCTGGGTATCTGTTTGCGACGATCGTTCTGGACTTCAAAACGGCCATGTCGTCGTTGATGGATCGATATTTTTGATATAATCCAAAACAATAAGCAATAAACTGCAGTTCGGTAATACATAAGCACGCATTCTGTATATACATAATTGAAAAAAACACAACCATTGCATTATCTTGGAATTCACCATAAAGCAAATAAATTCTAATGACATTAGCTGGTAGTATAATACTAATATTTAGAGATACTATGACAATAACGAAAATGCGAAAATTTGCTTTATCGAAATCCGCCAGCGGATAGTACAGTTCGTACCTTTTGATGTGCTCTTCGTACTTTAAGGTCGCATATAAATTTTTGTACGTATACGTTACTTTAGATAGCATACATACGATGGAAACTACTCGAGGAAACATAGATACCATAATCGTGGACTTTGACGTATTACAATTATTATATAGTTTACACATAAATTTTGCAGACTCTATACAACTATAGAAACACGAAAACACTGACATTATGGAAATCACTACTCCAATATTGTCATAACACGTATTAAAATAACACATTATCGTCATTATCACTTAAATACAATGTTATGTTATGGTGTCAAATGAGTTTATAAAAATTGAATATTTATTTAAAACCTATCGATGGACTGCGAATAAAGTGACGAGCAGTTGTCAGTTTTGATAGAAAAATATAACAACAACTAAGATATATCATTATTTTTTATGAATTTATTATTCTATTATTTTTTACTACTTCAAATTTGTGTTCCGTTTAAAAAGTACATAATATTTAATAATTTAAAAATTGTTTAATGATAGTATGATTATTATTTATTCATAAATTCTCAAACAATCATTATTATCACATAAAAATGTAAAATATACAAGTCAAGTAATTTGTAGTGTGACGTTATCTACACGTTTCTGCCAAAACTGTGTTTTTACCAATACTAGTTTCCACAAAAGAATATATCTTGCCCTTTTTTAATAACACCCGTTTACACCAAAATAATACCTATTTATAAACTAAATAATGCTAGTATACAGGAGGTGTATTTAACATATTAAATATTTTTAAAATAAGCATAGGTATGAATGTATGATACATTTTAAAAAGATTATTTTTATATTGTAAAAATAACATTATTATTATTAAGCAATAATAAGAAATGTATACAAATAATACAAATAAAATAAATCCTATAAATTATAATTTTTTAAACTTTTTTTTTTAATTTTAGAATACACGTTTTACAAAATATAGTATCGAAAGTTTAATTATCCTTATAAAAATAAATTTAAAGATATATTTTATACATTTTATAAAATATAATGTTAAAATGTATAAAATATATTGTTAAAATGTATATTAATCTATACTGTTTTTCAATATTTTATAGTAATAAGAAATATAAGTATTTTAAATACATTTTATGTACAATAGTTTTTAATAGTATTTATATAAAAAGTCGTCTTTTAGAATATCTTAATTCAATTGAAGCGATACCAAAATTTCAATTTGGGTTCAAGTCACACCATTCTACAGCTCAGCAACTACTTCGTCTCATAGAAACAATTAGTAACGGTTTTGAAAAAAAGTAACACACAGGTGCAGTTTTTTTGGACATCGCAAAAGCGTTTGATCGTGCCTGGCACGATGGCCTTTTCTATAAACTAAAATGCGCAAACATACCAAAATATATTCTGCACATACTAAAATCCTTTCTCAATGATAGAAGCTTTGTTGTCAGAATAAACGTAACGCAATCATCTAGCAAACCTATTCAAGCTGGACTTCCTCAGGGATCTAAACTAGGACCTATTCTGTTTAACTTTTACATCTCAGACATTCCATAAACTGCGGACACAAACATCGCCCTATTTGCTGACGATACCACCATYWMCTGAGTATCTTCGGATACTCAGGTAATTACAACCGCACTCCAAGAACATCTCAATACAATTTCATTGTGGTGMCAAAAATGAAGAATCAACATAAACCCTTCAAAAAGCCAAACAGTATTTTTTCCCTACGTAGAACACAAACACCTCAACCAGTTAAGTTCGACAACGAGCCAATAGAATGGAAATCGTCGGTTAAATACTTAGGCGTTATACTTGATAAGAAACTTAACTGGTGACCTCACCTATTATCGGCCAAACTCCAGCAAGCATACCAACGACTAGGGGTTCTCTTTCCAATTTTAAATAGGAAATCAACTGTTAGTAAAAAATKTTCACTTATTATATATAAGCAAGTACTGAGACCTTAAATTTTATACGCATGTCCTATATGAGGCAGTTGTGCTAAAAGCCACTTAAACAAAATTCAAATTTATCAAAACAAAATACTCCGCATAATAACAGATGCTCTCTGGTTTGTACGCAACAAAGCCTTGCATAAGGACTTGAAAATCCCTACTATCGATGCGCACATAAACCATAAAGCAAACAGATTCTTTCACTCACTTACGAACTCAAATGGTCCTGTTCACTACAACTTACACAAAAGCCCTCCGAAAATCCGTCGTCTCAATAGAGGAAGACCCCACGACCGCAGAAAATGACAGCTACCACTAATAAATTACCGCAATATCGATCGCATCATGCCAGAAAATTAAACCTACTCTACTTAATATTTAATATTAATTATTATATCGCAATTATGTTTGAAAAAAAAATTGTTAAAAAAAAAAATTGCAAAAATGTGTATACATCAGTAGACTTAGATAGGTATTCTAGCTAGGACTGCCTTAATTAATAATTAAATAAAAAAAAAAATAAAAATTGGAAACGGAAATGATAAACTTTTGATGGAAATTATCATCCATTTGCATATCTATACAACATAATATTCCTCAACTTAAATTTTAATAGTATATCTAAATGTCTTATCATTAAGCTAAAATATTATGAAAGCTATGATAAGAAAAAAAAATACAAAACATATTTATTATACTAAAATAACTATATTTCTAATTTACGTATGGTATTCATTTGTCTCTATTTTTCCATTTTCTTTCATTTAGCGAACATATTGAAACAACACAATGAAATATGTTATAACTGCAAAAATAGTCTAAAAATAAAATAATAATAAATATTTAAAATATATTTTCACAGTAGGTACAATATAGATATAATATTAAAAATGGCAAAAATTTTGTAAAAGTTAATTTTTTTTTAAGGGTTAGGAAGACCTGTTGATTGCCATTTAGATAATATGTAATTTATATGTTTTTGATTTTTGCATAAAGAAAAATATTTCCAAAACATCAATATTTACTAGGAAAGAGTTGTGTTTGATGTGCTAATTTTATGCCATTTTGAATTTTAGAGGAAATAATGTCACGCGGATTTACAAACTGGGCTTGAAAATTGATGTGAATAGCGATCTAGATGTTAAAATATAAAATATGTCAAAAAAAGTTAATTTTTTGAAGTAAAATTTCTTTGCGGAGTTACCCCAATCTATTTATTTATTTTTTGTTTGTGAGGTTAGATTAAAAGGCTATGAATTTTATTTGGTCAAAACCTCTACAGTAAATTAAATTCCAAAAATTTCATAATTTACTAAAAAAGAGAATAATCAGATCATACAAAAGTATCGTGATTCAAGTCCATGAGTAAAAATGTCTCCAATTTTCTTTGCATTTCCTCAATTTAAAAAAAATAACGAAAATCTAGGGAAGCAAATGTCCTAGCTTTCCCCCCTCATTCTGAGCGTCTATGGTTGTAATATTTTTATTTTTACTATTTACCATAAAAAAATACAAATTTATACAAATTGAATACAAATTTAAAAACAATACACTGTTATGTTGACTTACAGAAGTAATGAAGTGAGCGTTTAATGTGAAAACATCGCAGGTTGTGAATTCCATTGAACGACGTAATATTTGATTGGAAAATAAGTGCAACTGTAAATTCATAAATAAACACATTTAAAAAAGTTTAGTCGGTATTCGATTTTAAACAAGTTTTTTGTTTACTTCTTCCTTTGTGCTGATGTCTAAAATTCGATTGTTTGTGTCAGATACTATCGATTTTGTTCTATACGCCTAAAGCATAAAAGTAGTGAGTGTATAATATAATATGAAATATGTTATGCTTATGACTAGGGCCCAGATTTATATGCAAATGCATATTCTCCTTCAATTCACCTATAGAATAATTTTGATTGTAAATGTCAACGTTTTATAATGTGTAGATTCTATAGTTAAATTTGTTTTTGCACAATTTTGTATATTTGAAGGAAAATGCATATTTATTGCATATTTATTGATAGTTTCATAAATGTTGCATATTCTAAAATTATTATAATATTATAATCATTATAATTCTATCTTTGTTCTTTAAAATAGTCATATTTACGTCTGTATGACTGTATGTAGGTACAAATACTTAATTTTGCTCGTAAATAACCATAAATAACGATAATGTACATCGATATCTCGTAATAGTTATTGACGAATAACGAAAAATATTGGATTTTCTAGTGGTAATTTTATAATTACACGACTACATTATATAACAGTATTATATGTATTATTATTACTATACGTGTCATCAAAATATTGTATTTTGCATATTTTTTTTTAATAATCTATTTTATAGGTACATACATTTAAAGTGTGCAATATTTTTACTCAAAATTGTATAATAGCTTATTAATTTGTCAAAGAAATGATTTTGTATATTTATGATTTGAATCTGTATATTTTATAAATTTTTATTGCATATAAATCCGGGCCCTAAATTATGACTAATGAATATTTATCATTTTAATATTACAATTTCTAATAAAAAATATGCTAAATGTCTATGCCCACTTCTGTAGATATCGATTATTAAGTAAATAATATTATCTGAAAAATGTAAGCGATTTGAGTGCAAAACCATCGGTGAATCTGATCACTACAAAATTATATTCAGAAAAAAAAATATTTGGCACCTATCTAATACGTATAGACATCATATCAAATATGCACATAACTCCGACAGAACTTGAAACCTTGCATGATCTTGCTTGACAGTGGAGGCACAGAATTCATAAAACCTGGATTTGGAGTTAACATCGTTAAGATATAATGACAATAATATTCTCTAAGAATATATAGTATAGTAAATAGCAACAAAAATATTGCTTTTATAACAATTATTTCCCATTAGACGTGTTTTATTTCAGTGGCACAACTTAAAAGTAAGAGGCCCATGTGAAAATTCCCAGGCTGGGACCCTCACCTACTAATAAAAACGAAAAACGGTCGATATGTCTTATTAAAATTAAAAATATTGTTTTCTCACATGTAATAGTTGATAATTATTAGCTATATTTGTTTTTGCACACGCAACACTACCGATGATTGTGCCACAGTTTTATTTAAGATTTAAACAAAATTAAAACATGATAAGTTAATAATAATTATTATTAATTAACAATAATAATATTCCGKGATATCTGAAAACAAATTTAAGTAACTGTGTTTATCTGATCACTTTTTTTTTTTTTTGTCAACGGACCAATAATTACGACTTCTCCATTTTAGTCCGGTTTTATGATCAGCCGCACATCTGTTGCTTGCACATCATCGTCATCACTTGCACTCCTTCAATATATAGTACAGATATTCCCGAGAATTTGAAAATATAATCTTTGAGTAGGTATATTCGAAAATTTTAAAATCAGAATTTATACAAACTCATTATTAAAAGAAAAAATTGAGGGTGAGCGTCATGGATGTCAGAATCACCGTGTAGTATACGAACGTGCAGTTTAAAACTATTAGGCAGACGCGAAACCCATGAGAACACCTGTTTCATCGTGAAATGCGTCGTCAACACGATCGCGCACAGTCTGAAGGAATAATGCGTCAGCCACACGTAAAGAAACACCCGTGACCTGGCCAGAGTGTACATCTCGAACATCTCGCTGTAGGTGTCGATCACTGTTAACATGCACAGGGCGCACAGGGACAGCAGCAGCTGGACGCCGTACAAGTCGTTCAGGTCACCGACCGCGTCCCGGACACACTGGTGCCTCATCCGGAGCACCTCGACGTCGCCGGCCGTGGGAAGCGTCCCGGATGTCGTACATCGGCCGCGGCGGCGCTCGTAGTCGGCAGACAGCAGCAACACGGGCGGGTACCGGTTGACGGTGACCGTTGCAAACTTGAGCGCGAACACGTCCTCGTTGATCCGGCAGAACCGCAGATACAGCGTGAAACAGCGCGCCACGTAGTGGATTTCCATCGAACACGTGCACAGGTTTTGCAAGTACAAGATTACGAAGAACGCGGTGACGGTGTGGTCGCGGACTTCCCGGTGGATTAGGTACGGGCGGTACACGCTTATCGGCAGTACGGTGACGGCGTACGCGAACACTATGAACGCGACGAAAGCGAAGCCGCGGCCGCCCGGGTCCGGAAAACACGAGTCGTACACGCGTGTCTTGTGCTCGTACTCGCGGAACTCGCCGTTCACGGTGTGCAATATGGTCTTCACCCGAGTCACCAGGCACCCGACAGCAACGGTCTGAGGTATCACGGTTTTGACGCGCACCATCACGGCCGTCCACTCGTGCTCGTGACACGACTCCATCGCGCATATGCAGTACGGCGACAGCGCGATGTTGAACAGGCACACCGCGATCACCACAAACGAGAACAACGCATCGAGCACGTGTCTGTGCCGGCGCCCGGCGGCGGACGTGTTGAACATCGTCTGCCGTGCCAAAAATTTACGTGTGCGTGGCCACAGACGATCGTAAATATTTGGGCGGTTTGCCGCGAGACAATGTACCTACCCGCTGATCGAGACGTGCAGTCTCGTCGCCCGGACTATACCGTATACCTCACGAGTCACGGAACAGTCAACGGACGTTTCGACATGTTTGCGAAGTAGCTCATGACGTAATTATATAGGTTACGCCRTGATAATATTGACAACGGTTAAGTACTCTTCAATATAAAATAAGTCCCTTGAGTGTCTTTGTATATATGCCTCGTCCCGAGCTTTTCAAAAATTGTTTTGGACAGTATTACAAAATATTTCAAGTCGATTGTTATTTAATTGCATACCTACGAAGCACGAATTACAATGATATTAACATGATTTGTTAATTTCTAATTTACGAAAATACCATCGTATATTATGATAAATGAAACAATTTAACTGTTCCTATTTTCCTCTATATATTGTGTATATATAATACTGGAGATTGAGTGGTGTTTTTGATCAAAGTTTTATTCTTAATTAATTTTCAATGGTTTATTATTACCTAGTGTAGGTCGGACCTACTAGGTCCTATCTACTGGGTAGAACACGATTGCGTACGTTTGTTGATGGATTAATAGTAACTCTAAAAAATAATAAATAAACACGATTGCCGTATGAAATTGTATGCAACGTTGTCAAATTTGCTAATTTCATCGTATATAAAATAAATAATAAATAAAATGAGGCTAACTAATCAATCAAAAATTTATTAATAAATAAATAAAATCATAAATTATTATTTTAATAAAATAATCCTAAATACATTTTTTA